GGGATGCGCGCCGGTGCCTCAGTTTCCCTGAAGAGGCTCGCGCAGGCGACGCCCCCTCCTCAAGGGGTCTGGGGGACTCCCGGTGCACACCCCTTGTTCAGCGCGGGGTTCTCCGTGCACCCATGGGTGCAGCATCCCTCTCCCCCCATCCCTCGCTGCTCGGGGGTGTCCTCGGCTGTGGGGGCGGCCACGGGGATGGGGAGGGGGGCGGCCGGGGCGCCCCCGTGGCGTGGGGGTGTCGGGGGGGGCCCCCAGCCCCGTCCGCCGCGTTTTAAATCCGCCGGAGGAATTTCTGTGGCGGCCAAGACAAACGTGACCTACTTTCTGCTGTCCCCGCGCGGAGCGGAGGAGCCCGGGGCTGGGCACCGCGCCCGCCGCGGCCCCCCCGGTCCCCCCCGGCGAGGGATGAGGGCCCCCCGCGCCCCCCGCACCCCTCCGCGCCGGGAGGGTCACCGGGGGGTCACGGGGGGGGCTCAAGGGCCCCCCATCCCACGGGGGATGTGGAACAGGGTGGGCACGAAAAGACGGTGGGGGGCTGCCGCGGTCGTGATTCAGTGTCCCCCTTATGGGGGGGCTGTGGGGTGGTCCGGGGGTGCCCCCCGGTGCTGCCCCCGCCCTGACCCCCCTCCTGCACCGTGTCTTTGCCACCGCAGAGCTCGCAGAGGAGGGATCGTCCGGACCCCCGGCGCCCCCCACCCCGTAAGTCACCGCCTACCCCCTAAACCACCCCATAAACCACCATAAACCCCATAAACCCCATAAACCACCCCTCACCCCATAAATCGTCCTCATCCCCGTAAGTCGCCCCCTCCCCCCGATTTGGGGGTGTCCGAATGTGCAACGAACGTAACAGGGCTCCGCCTGGACCCCCAGTGCACATCGGATTGGCTTCCCTGGRGGGYGAGGGGCTCCCCTGTGCGCCCCCTCCCCAGCGGGACCCCCCTCCTCTTGGGGGGCTCCCCCCTCCTCTTGGGACCCCCCAGCCCTGCCCCCCGCTCCCTGGGTGCGCTTGTGCTTTGCTGCACGCTCACAGCCCTGGGCGCGTTCTCACACAGCCCTGCAGCCCCGGGCGTGCTTTGCACACCCACCCACACCTGTGCACGCTCTCGCACCGCCTTGCACACCTGCGTGCACACCTGTGAGTGTTCACACACAGCCCTGCGCGCTCTCACACGCCTTCATTTCACCACAGCCTTGCACGCCTGTGCACACACCTGTGCGTGCTCACGCTGCACGCTCTCACACGCCTTCTGTGCCGCCGCAGCCTTGCACACCTGTGTGCATGCCTGTGTGCATGCCTGTGCACGCTCTCACACACCTGTACATGCTCTTGCACAATACTCTCGCATGCCCTGCACACCTGTGCACGAACTTGCACACCTGTGCATGGTTTTGTGCGTCTGTGCGTGCTCTTCCGTCACCCTGCACACTCCTGCATGTGCTTTATGTTCTCACAGCCTGGCACACTTGGGCATTTCACTCCCCTGTGCACAAACTCTCAGCGTCTTGGGTACACTCAACCCTCTGTGCACACTCAGCTCCCTGTACACACTCAGCTCTCTGTGCACACTCACCCTGTTGTGTACACTCACCCCACTGTGCACACTCTCATCCCCCTGTGCCCACATTCTCAGCTCCCTGTGCACTCTCACCTCCTGTGCATGTTCTCACCCCTGTGCACACACTCACCCCTCTGTGCACACTCACCCTTTGTGCACACTCTCACACCCCCTTTACACACACTCACCCCCCTGTGCACACTCTCACGCCCCTTTACACACTCTCACCCCCCTGTGCACACTCTCACCCCCCTTTACACACTCTCACCCCGCCGTGCCCTCTGGCCCAGCCCCGCTGCTGTCGCAAACACCCCGCACGTCGCTCCCTCCCCGCGTTCTCGCACGTCCCTCGTGCCCTTGCCCAGCCCAGGGCGCCCTTGCACGCTCCACACATTCTTGCACGCTCACACCCATCCCTCCCTGGTAGCCACAGCTCCTGGGGGTCCCCCATGGCTTCACACCCCCTTCCCCTCTGTGTCCCCCGTGGCTTCTCCCGTCCCTCCTGGCGGAGGTTTGGACTGACCCCGCTGTCCCGCAGGGTCCGGCCCGGGATGCTGCGCGGTGCTGAGCACTGAGGGGCACCATGGGGTGCGCGGCGTAGCCCCCCGCCGTGGCCCCCCCGGCCGTGGCCCCCCCACCGTGGCCCCCGCGTGGCGCCGGAGCCCCCCCGGTCGGTGCTGAGCGCTCCTTGATGGAATTGCGGTGAATGGAACAGAAGCCCAGCACCCTGGACCCGCTGTCGGAGCCAGAGGACACCCGGTGAGCCCCCAGCCCGGCGCGGGGACACGCGGGGGACACGTGTGACAGCGCGCCTGGCGTGTCCCTGCGCCTGCCGTGCCCGCTGTGTCCGAATGCTGCGTGTGTCCCCAAGTGTCCCTGTGCCCAGGGTGTCCCCCTGCATCCCCGCATGGTCATGGTGCATCCGTGCCCTGGGTGTCACTGTGTCCCCAAGTGTCCCTGTGTGGTTGCGAGTCCGTGTGTCCCTGTGTCCCGTGTGTCCCTGTGTCCTGGGTGTCCCTCTGTCCTGGGTGTCCCTCGCGTCCCTGCGCCCACCGTGTCCCCATCCACCCCATGTGTCCCCATGTCCTGTGCATCCCYACACCCCGGCTGTCCCCCAGCCCCCCGTACCCCACATGTCCCCAAGTGTCCCTGCGTGCCCTCACCTTCTGGGTATCCCCACATGTTCCCACATCCTGGGTGTCCCCCTGCAGCCCACGTGTCACCAGGTGTGTGTCCCTGTGTCCCCACTCGTGCCCCGGTGTCCCCCCCCCACTCGTGCCTGTCCCAGCCGCCCCCTCCCCGCGGGGGCCCCTCGCACCCCCCTCCCCGGGGCTATTTCGGGTCCCCGGTGTGGGGTGGCGGTCCCTGGGGTCACCTTGGTCCGGAGCCCCCCCTGGTGAGGATCGGGGTCCCCGCGGTCTCTGAGTGTCCCCCCTCCCCCCCCGCCCCGCGGGGACGGGCGCGCGCGGACCCCCGCC